AAGTGCGATTTTATCCATCTTTGTTGGCATAGCCTTGTCATACTACAAGTAGATAAAGTAAAGTCTGCAATTACTTAAAGATACGAGTATAAACTGGTTACTTTTTTTTGTAACAGCAGCGTTATACCTAGATAGATTTCATTGACCGCCGTAACAGATAACCAGGATTGTAAATGCAACTAAATAGAATATGGGCGAGCATAGGTTTATAACCGAGTCTCTCAAGAATATTGTCTTTGTAAATGGTGATAAACATATTGTGTTGGTGGCGTGTTATGCTTCAACCACACCAACGCGTGCAGATGGCAATCACCGGCGCGATCATAGGCCAATGACAGGTCGCGCCGACTGTCATGGGTCGCGCAACCTGTCATTGGCCTATGATCACGATTACGATGGATTTCACGATTTGGTGTACCAACAACAGTGACCTCAGATCAAGGACGTCAATTCGAGTCAGAAATCTTCCAGTCACTGACAAAAAGGCTCGGTATCAACCACATCCACACCACAGCGTATCATCCTCAAGCAAACGGACAAGTAGAACGCTGGCACAGAACACTAAAAGCCGCGCTTATGACCAAATGCAACCGTGAGAATTGGGTCAAGGAACTACCCATGGTTCTTCTCGGGCTGCGTGCTGCTATTCGGGATGACATCAAGATTAGTGCAGCCCAACTCACTTATGGCACCACAATAAGGCTTCCGGGTGATTTCTTTACACCTAGACCGGTCTGCACGGACGACAACAACTTATTACGGCAACTCCAAGAAACGGTGTCGTCACTTCTATCGACATCCAGGAGACAGAGACCTCTAGCGCAACGCAACGTTTTCATACACGATGAGCTACACGTCTGCTCACACGTCTTTGTACGAAACGATGCAGCAAAAAGCGCTCTCACGCCACCATACACTGGTCCATACCAAGTACTAGAGCGCCAGGAGAAATTCTTCACCGTCCAGTTGCCAAACAGAACAGCCGTAATATCAGTTGATCGTCTAAAACCAGCTTTTTTACTTAACGGCGAAGAAGACAGTTGCGAAGACTTCCGCGAGCAGCCGTCACCAGATCAACATCGCCATCGCCATCGCCGCGGCGATGGCGATCTGCACGAGTTGGTGTGGTTGACGCTTTAATGATATAGCAAGACTAATCTATAATCGAACTGAATCAGAGATTAGAAACGAGAATACTGAATCTACATCTGTTGTTATTTGAAGTATTTTCATAAATAATCTCAGCCATCGTCGGAGCGTTGTTTAGAATTGTTATTTTTAGGCACTTCAGGACTTATCAGAGGGGCGAAAGTTCTCCTTTTCGCGCCGCTTAACAAACACTAATTGACTTTTCAGACGGCCACCTCACAAAAAATTGGTTATGAAAAATGAAATAAAAATTCAGAGAAAGTTTACTCAGAAATTGGAATTTGTTAGACAAGCAAATATTGGATTTTTTATTAAGAAAGCTTCACCGTTTGTGACTAGCAAATACCTACTAATTTCTAGTTAATATTGTTATAATGGAAGTCATTGGGGGAGGCCTATGTTCAGCAGTGGACGTCCTGTGGCTGAATTATGATTTTGATGATGATTATTAAACGAGTAATAATAGGTACTATTAACTGATAGTCAAGCCTCGTAAAAACGGACAGTCACTATTATAAATTGTTTTAATAACCTTAGTAATAAGAGGCTTGACTAAAATTGTATAGTTAAAGCTAATTGAAATGAAACAATATTGGCAATTAAATTCAGTAGGCACGACACGATTATTTATTGAATATCGCCCAAATATCAATGTTCATATTGCGTTGTGGTTTACGCTACCTAATAATAACAACATCCAATTAAAAAAAAAAAATGATTCTGGTAGCAAAATACCAGTTAAAAAAAAAAATTGTTTTGCGTGTAATTGTAATTATTGGAAAAATTTACCGAACATGAATGTAATTCGTTTTTAGAGCTTAACGCTTTTAAGTCGTCGTCGTCGTTTCAGCCAAATGACGTCCACTGCTGGACAAAGGCCTCCCCCAAGGTTTTCCATAATGAACGGTCCTGCGCTGCCCGCATCCAGGCTCTTCCCGCGACCTTTACCAGATCGTCGGTCCACCTAGTAGGAGGCCTGCCCACGCTTTTAAGTATTTTAATGTATTTATCTACTTTAAAACTGTATTCAACAAGTATACAAATACTAGCGGCCGCCCGCGACTTCGTACGCGTGAATCCCGTTTTTCCCGCTAATTCCCGTTCCCGTGGGAATTCCGGAAATTCCTTTCTTAGTGCACTTCTACGGTACCTAAGCAACGTCCCTTCCAAATTTCAAGTGCCTACGTTTAGCCATTTAGGCTGTGCGTTGATCTGTCAGTCAGTCAGTCAGTTTCTCCTTTTATATATTTAGATTGGTCGTAAATGGTATTCAATATTCCCACTGCACAAATCCTTAGAGGGTCGGATATCCTTACAGCTCGGTACAACTGTATACATACATATCCGGAATGAATTGAACTTTGTTGAATACCCGGTGCACAATGACGGCCAAAAATGCTTATTCCGTAGCATTAAGGTTCAGAATTCTCGAGGGATGTACAGTCAGCTCGGATTTCAGAGTAGCTTTAAAAAGAAAAAGCAGAATATTGTTAACTGAAAATGATAGGTCATTTTGCTAAAACATTGACGTACGTTTCGTGTTTAAAAAATGTAGAGCGCTGAAAACTTTATAGGGGTTGAATGGCATCGTTTCTTTTATAGCGGAATTTTATTTTAGCTTACATCATCATCGTTTCAGCCACAGGACGTCCACTGCTGACATAAGCCTCACCCAATGATTTCCGTGCATATCAAGTCATTCAGCAGTGGACGTCCTATGGCTGAAATGATGATGATGATGATTATGATGATGATGATGATGAATGATTTCCAGATTGACGGGTTGTTAGCGGCCCACATCCAGCACCTTCCTGCTTGGTTGAGGTCGTTTGTCAACCGTGCGGGTTCCGTCCGTAAGAATTTCAGCATTAACTTGTGCAGTTGAACAATGTAGTTTCTCAAACTGACTATACAGAAAAGGAAATTAAATCCAGACAAGCAGAACAACGTAATGAGCGACAGCGAATCGCAATTAGGAGCTGAATTAGCGCTTGACCTCTTGTTTCTCGCTCTGCAAACTGAATCAAAAGAAAACTAGTTACGTTTAAGTTCAATTTCAGCAAGGTTTAACACGGCGAGTGACATTATTATGGTGCTACTTTTGTGAGCTTTTCATTTCATTACATTCTTGTCTGTCAAACTCCATACAAAAAGCACCGGTTATTGTTACGGTTAAAATAAGGTGGTGTAACTCAGCCTAAATGTGCTATGTTTTTTACAAAAACAAAAGAATGCCGGCTTTTCGTCTATGACTGAATGAACTCGTAGTATTGAATATTTCGTTTACATAAATTCCGCAACATTTTTCAGTTTCAGCTATCAATCGCATCAATGGGGCTGCTCCCAACGCAGTTTTCGTATTTTCAGTTCTAAATCGTAGCTATCTGCATCTCTTTTTTAATAAAAATATTGGAAAAACATTTTCAATTTTCCATTTGGGTATATTAATAGACTCTCAGTTGTTTATCTTTAAAAGTAAACACGATTTTTCATTCATTCAGCCAATATTACTTTTGTGAATTTTTTTAAATGTTTGTATAATAATCTCACAACAGTTAACAACCTCTGAAATAGGTCGGTTCAACAAACGAGTGTACTTTTAGAAGTTTCATATAAGACTTCATATGTAGACGTTTTTGAGTAAGTAACAAGATTAGTTAGTGTGCACATTTTGTACGCTGAAGGTTGGAAAGGTTGGTCGTACTTGAGATTATAAATAACTAAGGCCCCGAGGAGTTGAGCACACGATGTAAACCCACGCGATTTTATAAGAGAAACAGAATACCTGAGAGCTAACATTTCATACAGAAAGTTAACAATATGCACAGGTAATTACGTTAATGAGGTTTGCTAGTTAGCAGTACGGGTTATTATTTATTATTCTGTAGCTACCATAGAAGGTATAATTGTATCAGTTTTATCTTATGTATTTAAACGGATTAAATTACATTTTATTATCTACCTACCACCACCCTTCCTAACAATAAGACCGCCTACCTAGTTGTGCTGTTTTAATTTTTATATTAGTTTTGTGTGATGTGCAATAAGAAGTATTCATCTCTTTTCTTTTTGCGTCAAGAAAAACAGTTCTTTCTTCAACTCTCTGTTTGACCGAGATACCTGTCTCTTTCTACCTGAAAAGCTGCGACAGCCGCTCGCTTTCTTTTTCAACCCCTTTATACTCTTCTATATTTAAGCTTGATCCATGTCCCTTTCTAACTCACGAGCGATAAATAGAGCTTGAAAACACCTGTCTCTTTCTAGCTCACCTGAAAAGACGCGACGGCGAGCTGCGACAGCCCGTCGACGTAGGGTCCAAGCACGACTTGCTCCCTTTCTTCTTCAACCCTCTCTATACTCTTATTCTTAATCTTAAAATAGAGCTTGATAACACCTGTCTCTTTCTATCTCACCTGAAAAGAAGCGACGGCGAGCTGCGACAGTCCGTCGACGTAGGGCCCAAGCACGACTTGCTCCCTTCCTTCTTCAACCCTCCTAATAATCTTCTATTTTTAAGCTTATAAATAGAGCTTGAAAACACCTGTCTCTTTCTAGCTCACCTGAAAAGACGCGACGGCGAGCTGCGACAGCCCGTCGACGTAGGGCCCGAGAACGACGTGCTTGCTTCCTTCTTCAACCCTCTTAATAATTTTCTATTTTTAAGCTTATAAATAATGCTTGATAACACCTGTCTCTTTCTAGCTCACCTGAAAAGACACAACGGCGAGCTGCGACAGCCCGTCGACGTAGGGCCCAAGCACGACTTGCTCCCTTTCTTCTTCAACCCTCTCTATACTCTTATTCTTAATCTTAAAATAGAGCTTGATAGCACCTGTCTCTTTCTAGCTCACCTGAAAAGACGCGACGGCGAGCTGCGACAGCCCGTCGACGTAGGGCCCAAGCACGACGTGCTCGCGCACGCGCAGCGAGCGCCGCGACGTCTCCGGGTCCAATAGATCGTGCACGCGCTCGTTGTAGATCTCCATGTATGACACCTCCACCTGCAGGCAATATGGTAGCTTAAGCAAAGAAAGATAAGGTTGGTATTTGACCAAAGGCCAACAACAACAAGGGTTACATGACTGCAAACTGAAGGTTTGATCATGATTGACTGAAATTGAAGATGCATTCGTATTGTTACGGAGCGTGGCAGCGAATCTGTTAAAATACTTATGAAGAAACATTGAGCGAGTCTCTCAAATGGAAAGAACATACGACACACGTACACCAATCTCCCACGCGTCGCCATTTGATTATATTATACCTTAGCTTACAGAAGAATGTAACTATGGTTCACTACAACTATTACTAGGCGTACTGATCAGAATCCAAAACATTAACGTCTATATCTAATAGTTTTACACTAGGTATTGTTCAGTCAATACCTAATAAAAGCAAACTTAATTCCCAGTAAATTGACCTTACAAATGTGTTGGATGCGGGCAGCGCAGGAGCGATCTTTGTGGAAATCCTCTAGGGAGGCCATTGTCCAGCAGTGGACGTAAAAAGAAAACTCAGTCGGTGAACTTCAAGCACCATTAAGAACGGGACTATTTCCACCTCTCGTTCCCGCCGCTGCAACTCCTGTGTAGCCGGGATCTACAGCTTGACCGCCAATAAAGACCCAACCAGTGAAGGTCAAGTTTGTATACCATAAAGAACCTTACTATAAAGAAGCAATAATACCTTGTAAGTGAGGGCCGGCGGGTTCTGCTGGACTGCAATCCGTTCGAAGAGCGCGTCGCAAAGCCGCGGGATGATGCCGCCCTCGTCGGCCCCGGGCGCGCCCATCATGGTGTACGATTTGCCCGAGCCTGCGGACAAAGAAAACAGGTTATAAATATAAGTTTTCTTATGTCTTTTGAGTAATGACAACTGAGCTGACCGTCCTTTTTCCGTCGGCAAATGGGTGATGGCCAGTGGGTTACGTGAGACTCCCCCCGTCAGAAACTAAAACCCGACGATATTTTCTAGTGATGCCGATTCTCACTCATATAATTATTCAAAACTCTATGGACAAAATGGTCCGACCGTAATTAAGACCCTAGGCTAGGATTCACCACTTTAAAGTAGTAAATAAAATCTAATGTCTGCTTGCTGCAAGCACCAAGTCTCACAGGCTATATTTAGACATAGATCTACTCTGTATTTACCTACTATCATAAATCGGCATATGGCATCGTATTGAGTACGAGTATGTATAAATACTATTTCGCAACAAAATTGTCTAGTCTGATTTTCACGTTTTATACGAGTACTAGCTTTCCGCCCGCGGCTTCGCCCGCGTGTAATTTTGTCTGTCACAGAAAAACTTTATCGCGCGCGTCCCTGTCTCAATAACCGGGATAAAAACTATCATTTATGTCCTTTCCCGGGACTCAAACTATCTCCATGCCAAATTTCAAGAAAATCGGTTCAGTGTTTTAGGCGTGAAAGCAAGACAGACAGAGTTACTTTCGCATTTATGACATTAATATAGATAGATTAGTTTTCACCTCGCAACCGGGTTTAATTATTTTGATGGCTAGCGCCAATTGTCGTAATTAGACAATTTTTAATTACAAATTGGTCTCGTGTCCTTCAACGAGACATCCAATTGGCGTAATTGATCGTGACGTCACTCGGCTGACTCCCGACGTCCCCCGGGAAAGCATAACAAGGAACGGTCGTTTACTTCTTCGGAATAAACAAAAACTGGCAACACTTAATTACATTTATTCATTTTCGAAATGAAATATGTGCCTCCTAGCTTTTGCCCGCGGCATCACCCGCGTGAAATTTAGTTTGTCACATATCGATCACATATAAATTATAGCCTATATGTTATTCTGGGTTATAAACAATAATACTGTAAATTTCAACAAAATCCGTTCAGTAGTTTTTGCGTGAAAGAGTAACAAACACCCAGACATCCAAACTTTCGCATTTAAAGAAATGTACTAACTTAACCTTAGTTGACCCCAGTTTTAATGTAGTCTAGTTCTATCTCTAGGGTAACATTAGCTTTCTGAAAAGAAAACTCTAAATATAGTAAATGAAATTCTTATTCAGGTTTATTTGACACGTATTTAATTTAAAATTTGTTTTTTTTTTTTTAATATTTTTACATGCTTATTATTATAGCGTCAAGTCATTCCGTATTAATTACTTATTTGCTTTGAACTTTAATGGAACTGGAGGTCAAGTCGAGTGTAAGTTTGCCCTGAAAACCTAGTTTCTTAGCAGAGGTAGCTTAATTCCAGATTCACTTAAACTCCACATAATGACAACTTTTAAGTACGCCGAGCGAATTTAATAATCTAGTGAACGAAATAAATTATTTTTGCATTACTAAGAGTTTATGTTAATGTCCCTATTTGATTGAAACCTTGTGTTGTAAGCGTTTTAGGATACACTACAAGAATATTTATTTTAAACGGTAACATATTCCGAATTTGTTAACATAAATATTGCCGTAAGTAGCCAAAGTGCAATTCAGTGGGTATCACTAAAAAGTAGTGCCGATTATTCTCACGACCACGAAATCTTTTAAGAATGGAGAGTATATAAAAGTAACAAAACAAAATCGCATCACTAAACATACAAAACAAAAGGTAAATCATAACTTAATAAGTAAAGTTGAAGTTATTTATGAACAGAGCTGACAACGGCGCATTCTTGTCTTCTTACTTATCTGTTATAGATGACTCACGCTGAACTGTCCCACCAAACTCAATGACAGAGGGGCGCTACCATCGTTCAACTATATGGTTTCCAACATGGCAAAAATCGGAACCAGCGATCCGGTATTGACGGTGGCGCACCACTGTCAATGTCATGGAGAGGACAGTTCAGTATTTTGGAACTATAGTTCGCAGGCTGCGCGAAAGAGATAACCAATCAGAGTTCGCGAACAAGCTCAACTGATCACCAAGTTGCGAGTGAAATATTATATCGAAACTATGAATGAAATATGAAAATAAGTTAGCTTATGAATGAAATAGATTATATTTATTTATCTTTCGGGTTGGTTGTACTACATTGAATTAGTTATGTATCCGATGGAATTGTGAACCTAAAAGTTGATTAATAATTTCGAAACTTGAGGAGATCCGTAGGAGAACCAGAGTGACTGACATAGCCCGCAGAATCGCTAAAATCAAGTGGCAGTGGGCGGGGCACATAGCTCGAAGAGCTGATGGCCGCTGGGGCAGGAAAGTTCTTGAGTGGCGACCACGAGCTGGAAGACGTAGCGTGGGCAGGCCTCCTACTAGGTGGACCGACGATCTGGTGAAGGTCGCGGGAGGTACCTGGATGCAAGCGGCGCAGGATCGGTCTTTGTGGAAATCCTTGGGGGAGGCCTTTGTCCAGCAGTGGACGTCTTTCGGCTGAAAGGAACGAACGAACGAACGAATTTCGAAACTTATAATTAGTTGGTTTCGGAACAATTACTACTTCTTAATTAATACGGTAGAATATTTGAGATTTTAAACGCCAGAATCAGTAAGAAGCAGCTAACACAAGACTACAGTAAGATTCGCCTAAAAATACCGTATTATATCTAACGCCCGTATTCACAAACATTACTATGAGGTCTCACAGTGGGCGTGGACGCACAGGGTGACACACGAACCAATAATAGAGCTCTATTCAACGCTGTGCGTTAGATTTGCTGCTTCACTTAACCAAGCAAATCGAACGTAAATACGGGCGGTAACCTAGTTGGCCCGCTAATCTTAAAAAGTAGTCAAAGTTTGTTATAAATTAAATACGTACAATAAATGGAAGTAATAAATATCTAAAGCAAGTCAATGAATCAGTTGTTAGGGAGAGGATTATTCCATGAATAATGTTCTAATTATAAACTCGATAACAACTTAGCGCTCGTTTATATTTCAAAGAAGACTTTTATCAAAAATTCAAGCGTATTATTTCACAAAGTTGGTTTATTTATGGAGATTATCAAATTAGCAACTAAGCTTTATTTACCAAGGATTAGAAGTAATTTATTGAATACCTGCTTTATTAATAGAGCTGGAAACTCACGATTAAACATTTCTAGATTCGTTTTTCCGGTGGATCACACAGATTGTTATATTGTAGTCTTATGATGTTATTATATCTTATGATCCCACTCCATCAGTTTGACCGTCAGGCGCCATTTTGTAATAAAATCACAAAAAATGTTGGATTGGATTTATAATCAAAGAACCCAGCTTTTGATATTAATTGTGTATCGACATTTTCTATTGTAAAAAGCTANGTCATCTGCACGAGTTGGTGTGGTTGACGCTTTAATGATATAGCAAGACTAATCTATAATCGAACTGAATCAGAGATTAGAAACGAGAATACTGAATCTACTTCTGTTGTTATTTGAAGTATTTTCATAAATAATCTCAGCCATCGTCGGAGCGTTGTTTAGAATTGTTATTTTTAGGCACTTCAGGACTTATCAGAGGGGCGAAAGTTCTCCTTTTCGCGCCGCTTAACAAACACTAATTGACTTTTCAGACGGCCACCTCACAAAAAATTGGTTATGAAAAATGAAATAAAAATTCAGAGAAAGTTTACTCAGAAATTGGAATTTGTTAGATAAGCAAATATTGGATTTTTTATTAAGAAAGCTTCACCGTTAGTGACTAGCAAATACCTACTAATTACTAGTTAATATTGTTATAATGCAATTAATTTGGGGAGGCCTATGTTCAGCAGTGGACATCCTGTGATTGAAATAATGATTTTGATGATTATTATTATAATTATACTATAAGTGATAGTCAAGTGTCGTAAAAACAGATTAGTCACTATTATGGTTTTAACAACCTTAGTAATAAGAGGTTTGACTAAAATTGTATAGTTAAAGCTAATTGAAATGAAACAATATTGGAAATTAAATTCATTAGGTACAAGTATTTATTGAATATCGCCCAAATATCAATTTTCATATTGCGTTGTGGTTTACGCTAATTGTTTTGCGTGTAATTGTAATTATTGGAAAAATTTACCGAACATGAATGTAATTCGTTTTTAGAGCTTAACGCTTTTAAGTCGTCGTCGTCGTTTCAGCCAAATGACGTCCACTGCTGGACAAAGGCCTCCCCCAAGGTTTTCCATAATGAACGGTCCTGCGCTGCCCGCATCCAGGCTCTTCCCGCGACCTTTACCAGATCGTCGGTCCACCTAGTAGGAGGCCTGCCCACGCTTTTAAGTATTTTAATGTATTTATCTACTTTAAAATATTTTAAAGCTGTATTAAACAAGTATACAAATATTGCTCGTAAATGGTATACAATATTCCCACTGCACAAATCCTTAGAGGGTAGGAAATCCTTACAGCTCCGTACAACTGTATACATATCCGGAATGAATTGAACTTTGTTGAATACCCGGTGCACAATGACGGGCAAAAATTCTTATTCCGAAGCATTAAAGTTCAGAATTGTCGAGGGATGTACAGTCAGCTCGGATTTCGAAGCAGAAAATGATCGCTGTTGATGATGAGCGCTGAAAACTTCATATGGGCTTAGAATAGATTTTTTTACAGCGGAATTTTATTTTAGCTTTCATTATCATCGTTTTAGCCACAGGACGTTCACTGCCGACATAAGCCTCACCCAATGATTTCCGTGCGATGTGGAAGTCATACCAAGTCATTCAGCGGTGGACGTCCTATGGCTGAAATGATGATGATGATGATGAATGAATGATTTCCAGATTGACGCGCTGTTAGCGGCCCACATCCAGCGCCTTCCTGCTTGGTTGAGGTCGTTTGTCAACCGTGCGGGTTCCGTCCGTAAGAATTTCAGCATTAACTTGTGCAGTTGAACAATGT